CTGGTCTTAATGTCAGGACACCTGCATTCAGGAGATCAAACTTATTCTCTCCTATCTTTTGCTGTTCCTTTTTATTGCTTCTAATTTCTAATTTTCTTTTCTGTACTAGCATTCTGTTCTTTTTACAGCCTAATATATAAAATTTGTTACAGATCAGGGATGTGAGATGTGGAAAGAGATCTCCTTTGGTGAGAGTTTTTTGAGGAGCTGCCCATGTATCTGCAAGAGAAAAAGTGAAGATGCATCCTCAGTGCTGCAGAAGCAATCAATCCCTTGTTTAAGTTCCTGCTGCTCTGTATAGTCTGGAGGACCATGGCAGGGTTCAATTATATATGGACAGAGGAGGGAAATAAGACAGTGGTCTGCTACATAGGTCTGTATCCTCTCACTACTGAGCATGTAGAGAGTAGAGGGACGTCTCGCTACTGTCTTCTCCAAGTGTGTTGTGAATCTATTTTTAAAGAGTGTGGATTGGTTGCTAGTTTTTTTCAAGATGTATTGTCCAACCTGAAATACCAACGGTTTTGAGTAGACCAAAACTGGGGGCGCAGGTGGGTGTCTTAGCACTTTTGGTTTTGAAGATGAAGTACTTGCTAAAAACAACAACAAATTGCTTAACTGTATCCTGTGTTGAGAATATACATTCTCCTCCAGAAGATAGAACTAAATGAAGGAGTTGGGGAGCTTGTGTTCCTCTGCTGTCAGCCAGAACTTGAAACCTGCTGGCAAAGTGTGTATTTTATCTGTTGCTGGGAAGACAGCTGCCTACTGCTGCTGTTGCTGTTGGCTCAAGTGGCAGATGTTTGTGCTACATGTTCTTTAAAAGTCTGAAATCCGCTGTTAAAATTTGTGGGCAATGCTATACCATTCCTGTTCTGCCTTGAATGATGGGAGAGTTTGACAGAAAAGACAGTGTGTAGCCTTGAAATTCAAAGCAACCTGCTATGTCGTTCAAGAGGTAGAACTGACAATGTCCTGTTTTCTTTAAATTGAAAGTTTGACTTTTGTTAGCCAATACTATAAAGATGTGAGAGTATAAATATATTTATGTTAATCCGTGTTATCTGGGCTTAAACATTCGTTTTAAGTACGGTTATATTTGTAGGCTTAGAGCCTTCCTGTAATTTCATGGTATTCCAGACTCTTTTGTTTGGGATAGTCTGCAGTGGAAGTGAATGCTTATTTGAATTGCTGTGTATTGGCTGCAGGACAGCTGTAATACCCTAAATAAGCAAATACTGATGTTGTAACTTTTGCACAGAAAAGAGAGGTAGCTGTGAAAAATCTTTAGAAGTTTTGCTAACTTGTGGATGTATACAGGGAGCTAAAGTAAATGTGTTAGAAGGATGTTAGAAGGATGTTAGAAGGAAATGCAAGTGTTGGATAAATGGGTGGCATTTTAGACGAGTGTTAATATAGGAAGTATTAAATCAGCGCTGACTTGACTCTATCCTGTTATTGCAACTTCTGTTTTAACACTGTGGGATTCATGATACATAACCCGGCCCTGATTGATTACGGTTTGAATCAGCAGTAAGGCACATGAGCGTGATCAGTTTGGTCTCTTACTAGAAATGAGAACTTGAACTCTTGCTGCTCTTTTTACATAATTTTGTTCTTTACTATTTGGGGAGACTGCTCAGAATAATATCCCTATTTCAGTTATGGAAGGAGTTCGTAAAGTCATGCAAACTGGAATTCCTAATTGTGAAGTGTGCATATTCAGCCAGCTAATTTTCACATGATGCACATGGGTCTTTGAAAATGAAAATTATGGCCTTGAACTGGGCTTTCTGTGAGTAAAAGATGTAATATTGCAAAACATAGAATCTCTGGGTGGTGAGGGTAAGGACTTGTGGAGAAATGCTTACTATACTCTACATATTTAGCCTAGATAACAAGAAGACTTAACTACAGTATGCAACTTCGATGGTATTTTGTGGCAGTAGCTAAAAGCATATGCAGAGAGTTTGGAATGCATTCCTTAGATAAGATATGAATTAGAAACAAGATTAAGATAAATTTTGATTAGATGACAGAAAGGCACTGATCCAGCACTTGCAAAGCGTTTGATTTTGATTTTGAACTAGGTTGTTGGCCAGCAGAGTGAAAGGTTTGAGTACTTTCGAGAGTTAGCTGGCTCTGTAGCCGGAGTCTGGCTGGAGGGTGTTCGGCAGATAATGTGCTCAGAGCCTGCTGGAAGAGAGACAGTGCCTCGAATCCCTTTACCGTGAATCTCTGCTGCCTTCCTCACAACTGAAATAACAGTAGCAGCGGGGCTTGCAGAGTAGGTAATGGACAGTGGCTTTTGAATCATTCAAAAGCCTGATGTAATTATTAAATTTTGATTCTTCTTGATATTACAGTGCTGTTAAGCTAATGGGTTGGTGGGATTTGGGACAGTGAGTTGTGGGATGGTGTGAGGACAGACAAGTCTTTCTTTTCTAATTTATTGTTCCCTAGTAAGATCAGGTTAGATGGTGTGTTCTGATTAGTCTGTGGTGGAGTCTGTTGTAAGGAAACATTGAAGGTGCTGGGATCCCTGCCCTTTTGAGCTGTAAAACTTTACGACCCCATACAGTCACCCACAGCTTCTCATCACGTGTAGCCAAGCTCTGCTCTGCATCTGCTCCTTACCAGGGAGGGGCAGAAGTGCACTTAGCTCATCAGGGGAAGGAAGAATGTGGTGGGAGCTGATTTGAAAGGCGAATAGAACAGCCTGTAATGTTAAGTTCTCTTTTAAATCTTCTTTAGGAGATGGGGAGATGAGTGGCTGGGAACAACATGGGAGATTTCCTCGTAGCTCTCAGCACCTTGGACTATGGATTGAACTGCAGGTAGAAAATGGATTCTAGTATCTGTTGGAGAGCAGAAATAGGGGATGGACAACAAGTGACCTGTATACAGTCCTGCAGATTTCTCTGTATGTCCATAATGCCTTCAGGGGCAGGCTATGGTCGTGTGTTAGTGACACATTCAGCCGTTTCCCAGTATGCATAACATACTTCATGAAAGAACAGCAGTGGGGAAGCAGCGGTGAACATCACTGAGACTTAAAACAAGCCAGTGGATGGGTGGAATGGTCAGGACATGAAGAATGTAGGGCAGGATGTAGTTACAGAGAACATCCCTCTTGCCTGAGCTGTGTTCTGTCTCTTTGAGCTTTATTTTGATGCATGTCTCAAGTTGCAACGTTATTATTCTTTATCTAAAGCTTTTTTTAACATGGAGGAAAGATCATGTTAAAACAGCTTTCTTGGCAGTTAACAATGCACTTCTCCTGAAAAAAAAGATTTAGGCCACTGTGGTTTCTTGGTGTTGTGGATATGATTCATTTTGGCCATGGGAGGAGGATGACAGTTACTTGCTACACAAACCTTTCCTGTGATTCACGGAGTGCCATTTGTGTCAGCCTTGAAGGAGGCACTTCATATGCTTCCTAGCAGGAAGGAAAAAGAGCATGATCATAGTTACCAGATAGGGTATGGAAATCGGGTGGGAGGGAAGGGAAAGGGGAGAGGGAAATGCTGATTATTCAGAAGAAAGTTGCAGGACTGCCAAGGTTCTGTCTGCAATATCCATTCATCTACTTAATGAAAAATGGATACATACCAAGCCTATATATAATTAAGGGAAACATCATGACTGTAATTGCGATGTTCACAAAATAGTATGGCTTATTATGTAACATTTTTTGTGTGAATTTATCTTAGCACTTTTCCTTCTCTCTCCTGGATCCATTACTGTTTCATGTGGTACGAAGCTCCTGTCCCTGAGTGATGTGTTTCAGCAACAGTTTCAGGTTTTGCTCGCAAGCTAAGATGGCCATGTACAGTGCTTTATGTGAGCTTTCTGCAGAGACAGATTTTTGTGCTGTACAATACTAATACAATTAGCAACTTCGGAAGTGCACTAGCTTGCCAGATCAGAAGACATTTTCCTTTCTTCACAAGAAAGTAATTTAAAAAGCTGTACCACAGTTTTCTTCCTAAAAATAACAGCACAGATTGGCTACTTAAACTGCTTGTAAAGAAGAATACTCCATTAAATGACAACCCCTGATGTTGCACAGCAGACTTTGGGGCTCTTTCACAGCTTCCAGCTGCTTCCAGCTGTTTTTTCTACACCTGGAAACTGCAGGGTAGGAATAAGTGGGAGTAGAAGTGGAAACTAATGTGTCTTAATTTCTTAATTTCCTAAATAGGTTAGGGGCTCGTGGCTGGCTGTCCTCCCGGGGTTGGTAGTACTTGGTGTGGTACCTGCACCTGCGTTAGGAGATAGAGCTGCGACTGCCAGCCGTGTAGCAGCTCTGAAGAGTCCTTCTCCAGCTAAGCAGATGCACAGCAGCCTTAGAATGGGAGACCAGAGGTGTGGTTAGCGATGAAAGGAGCGAAATGAGGAGGAATGCAGAAGAGAATAAAAGTGGATGTGAATTACCAAGCACATGTCTTGTGTTCATTGATTTTCACTGGCAATTGCATTTTACTGTTTGATTCACCAGTGCTATTCAGTCTTCCATTATTTGCTGTGTTACAAAATGCTGGTTCTGTTTGGATTTTGCAGTAGCTATGCTTATTGGGGATAAGGGGCCTAATTATAGCTGTGAACTATTCTGCACTGAGAGGGCATTTAAGTTTCTTCTGACTATTTCTGAGGCAATGTGATGAGTCATGAAATATAACTTTTGCAGAAAATATCCTGATTGCCTAATGACTAGGTGTTGGTAGATGAAATTACACACACTCTCTCTTGTTCACATGAAACCAGGGAAGTGTCTTTCCGAGTAAGCTGTTTGTTCAAGTTACCCAAGAAATGTCAAGGTTTACAGGTGCAAAATGGGGAAAAAAGTGTATATTTGAGGAGCTTGAAAACACCTGCTGTGCCTTACAGATGCTTTAGAAATTCGCAGCATTAATACTTGTCTTCATATCTGTAAAGAAAAAATGCTGCCTGAAAATAATACAACTAATCATCTATGTACAAAATATTCTGTTTTGCAGATGATGTAGAGGATGTTAACAGTATGGAAAATGTCATGTTAGAATATGCTGCAATGGACAGAGAACTTAATCATTATATGACAGCAATTGAAGAAACGGTAAATCAGGTAAACTCGCTTCTGTGAAGGTTATGAAAATATATCCTTATTTAATTATTATCTTTTAACAGATACAAATGCATTAAAATGATACTTAGCTGGAAAGATAGATCTTTGATGGGTATAAAATTCCAAAGTTGCCAGTACAACTATGAATTTTCTCTCTAGCTGGCACGCAGTGTGATGCGTGTTCGCGTATTGTTCCTCCGCACCGGCCGCTGGCACCGGTGGGAACACGGGATGGCCAGTGCTGTGGGAATGGCCGAGGGCTCTGTAGCTGAGGCACCGTGGTCTCAGATGACACCCGCTTCACGTCTTGCCGAAGGTGGAAGCTGCGTGAGGAGTGAGGCAGCTGATTCCAGGAGTGAAGCGCTGGTTGTGGCACCGGGCAACTGGTGAGGGCTGCTTCCCTGTGTCTTCCTGCCACACCGATCTCCTGGTGCTTACTCAAGGGTGAGCTTGTTAATTGTTCACGCAATTAACTAGGGTCTCGTTTGCTACCTGGCCACTCATTTTTGCGAGAGCTGTCGCTTTTCAGTGTGTTTGGGGGGTTTCCAGCTCGGTGTTGAGTGCGATGGCAGCCGCGCAGCAGGTGCCGGGGCTGTTCTGGCGAAACACGCGCGGCGCAGCTGGCGAGAGCTCCTTTTCGTTAGCGAAGGGGGCTCGGCGCT